CCCTAATCACTTTCACAGTTACCCAATATTCATTTTTAACCGAAACATAACACCCTAAGACATCATCCCATAGTACATGAGAACGTGTGTCACATTTCATGCTGCGAGATATGGACACAGTTTCGAACGTAGCGCTTCGACATACCAAAGAGTTAAAGAACATAACATTCGAAGCCAGATTCGGATTCAGTGATCCTAGACTCCAGCCATGCCTAGATGGCTGCGTCATATAGATAAGGACCATCACCCTCCCTAGGGTCACCCCGATTTCTCCAACTTCGGTCATATTAGCTCGAAGACTATGAGAGAAGTTCGCAGACAAAGAAATTCATACAGCGTGAATTTTGATTACTATAATTGCGTTATATCGTTTCGCGCAGATATATGATGATAATGATAATTGTTTCTTTATTATGTGTTTTATTTTAAACGCGAATGTTGTAATAATAAGGTAGTCCATTAATTTGTAAACATGAAAGCTATTTACGCACTCAAGTTCTATGATATAAACCATGCCATTTTAATTACAATATTCAAAATAAGAATGGTGTCTTGCATCGTCGTATAAAGATTTTAATCGCTTGTCTTATGCCATTATTTAGCTTAGTAGAATATTTAAATATTCTATAGGAATTTTAAGTTTGTCGCTCTTCCTACTCTGGATGTGAGTTAGGTATTCCAAAAACGTTGCTTGCTGGAGAGAAAATATTTCAGTTTACACCCATTTAATGCAGATCTGAGGAGAATGATTCTCTGAATCCCAAGAGACTTAAATTATTGTAAGAACGTACATTTATATAACTAAAGCTTTTTGAACGAACTTAAAGAATTATGTAATCTTCACTTGTTATCGTTCAGTGAATACCTTTCTTTTTCGTTAATGAATTATAATTAGGAAAGTAATTAAGAACTCATTATTAATTATCAACCAAGAAAAATACATATATCAAGTATACATGAACATAAAAGGGACTTTGTAAATGTGAACGTGTTTTACCACAAAACATTATGACATACATACTTTTATCAACCTTCTGCTGTAAACTTATCTATAATTACTAAAGATATGTCTGGATTGTCTTACCTTTCAGAGTAGATGATTAGTCAGGATCTGATCTTAGGTCTTTCGAGTGAGTAACTGGGCCTTAGAAGTGTTAGTATTAATATTTATATAAAAAATGGAACAATACAATTTTTCATAGAGTTTTAAGCACAGAATTTGAAGCCTGCTTACTGAACTAAAATGCGTAAAAGCTATTTAAAGGTGGAATAATGGAAAAACTATAACCAAGACGAGAGAAAAGTTTTAAAGGTGTAGAAAGATCAACAGCGTTATTGATAAAATCACAGATTACCTGTTTAGAACGAAACATGAATGAAGTGTAGAAACCACAGACAAACAAGGCTTAAAAGATCAATCATAATTTAAACATATACTGAGGACGTTATAAGCAGGAACTGCATAAAATATTTATCTTCTCATAAAGGAAATCAATATTAACTGAAGTTCAATATACGTATAAGAAAATAAGCAAATTATAATTATATATGTTACAAAAATGTGAATAAACTTAAATAGCAAAGTTTTTGTAGCTTCCAAACTATTGTTTTGGGGTCTAGAAGCTGTCAGTAAGGTTAAATAACATAGTGAAGCCGTTGCAGAATGAAGTTACTATAGAATATATGTTTAAGCAAGTATATTTTGACTTTAGAAACATTCATCAGTCATCTAGAAACAAATCGTTATTAGCATTAGATTTATAAAAATTAAATAGCCCAATTATTTGAATTATGCAAGGGACTATTGGCTAAAGTGCAGGGCTGTGGATTTTGTTTGTTTGTTTGTTTGAATTAAGCCCAAAGCTACGCAACGGACTATCTGTGCTCTGCCCACCACGGTTTCTTCTAGTATTGTAAGTCCACAGACATACCGCTGTGCCACGGGGGGAGGGAGGTTGAACCGTGATATACTGTCGAACACACTTCACGCTTTCAGCTAAGGGAATATAATGACTAAGAAATTCTATAAGAATGAATAAGTTTCAAAACTGCAGAAATATTAGAAAAGAGCTAGTGTTAATCTGCGGGAACAAGAAATCATCTGGTTTATATACCCCATGTAATTGTTTAACTTAGACAAACAGGTTTGGTTTGAAATTCGTGCAAAGCTACACGAGAGTTATCTGCGATAGCCGTCGCTAATTTAACAGTAAAAACTAGAGGAAAGGCAGCTAGTCATCACCACCTACCACCAACTCTTGGACTACTCTTTTTACCAACGAATAGTGGGATTGACCGTCACATTATAACACCCCCACGGCTGAAAGGGCGAGCATGTTCGGTAGAACGGGGATTCGAATCTGCGACCCTTAGTTTGCGAGTCGAGCACCATAACCACCTGGCCATGTCGGGCCTAAGATAAACAGATAATTTATGCAAAGAATAATACATAAGAAACGAAACTGATTTGGGGATTTCAAATATACGAAACGAAATTTCATATTTAACCTGGATTATTTTGAACACATAATTTTACAGTGCTATTGCAGGTGAAGGTAAGGAATACTATTTTTTTATGTAACAGTTCGTTGCTGGCGAAATTGTAAAAACAAGAGAAAGATCAAATTAACAAAACTGAAAAGCATGAATACTTGGTAACCCTTGTATGTACATATATTCAATATATACATATTTAGGATAGGTTTATTAAAACCAATTTAGTGACACATCAGACAAAATTGTGTTTTAAAAACAGCAATTTCACTAAGTGTTTAAAAAACCTGCCAAAATATTTCGAGACAGTCTAGCGCCTTCTTCAATGTGTGACTGAAAATGTTTTAATGTTATTTACCCAAATTTTTTATTCGTCCTTTTAGAGAATAGATATAGTTCTTACGACCCTTTTTTCATAAGTTTTATAAGCCTAGAAAACATTTAGGAAGATGATACATATAACTGGAAATAAACAACTTCAATCTGTCAAACCAACAAAATGGTGGGTAAAATTTTTAACCTTACTCCACAAATGCAACAAAATATATATTAACCAGTTGTTTAACCTCAGAAGTATTGGTAACGGTCTATAAAAATGTTTAGGCACCAACTTACTTGTTGATGCGTGAGTGTTTTATAGGACCTTTTAATAACATGTGAGTCACAGAAGAGCTCAAACAATTAAACACACTACTTTTTTTGTTAGGAATCATTATATATTTTAGTCAGAAAACGAGTGAGTTCAGCGATTGTAGATCAGCTCTTTGCACTGAGTGCCTTAACTGGGGCTACGAACAGAATATGAAGAAGTTTGTAATTTAAGGGATGTTATAGCAGGTAAAAATGGAGCTTTTTAACGTTCTAATACTCCGTTCATGAGAAAGTTTGAATTCTCAACAAACACATTGGATGAAGCAAACTTTGTTATCGTTTTTCGAACTGTTAACAGTATTAATTAAACACATTATAAAGATAATCTTCGGAAAAACTTTTTAACTTACACTAATTTTAATCAACTGTAAACAGATGATTCAAATGATAAAAAGTGCTACTTATTAATATTTCAAGATAGCACGTTGGCTAACTCATTTCTACCTCGGTTCAATCATTGTCATTGTCGAAAACCAGAATATTTCATGAATAAGTCATAAAATGTATAAAGGGGAATGCAACGATCACAAATTTTATTTTACATGAACCCAAAAGTTTATTCTTTAAATTCATATCCCAGAGTGAGAATAAGCCCTACATACTGATTTGATGAAGGACCCAAAGCTGTTGAAGCTATGCTCGCATTGTTAAATTGCGAAAGGTTGTTCAAATAATTTATTAAATACTAATTGTTCTCACGTTTTTGGAAAGGCAATTTGTATTCTTTTTCATACGAAAGCGAACAAAAAATGTAATATTCTATATTAAGGATAATATCATTTAATATAGAATACGCATTAACTTGGTATTAAATGTAATGTTAAGCGTTAACGTATTTGTAGAGGTACAATTCGATAGCAAACACGATGAAGGTTTTGATGCACAGAGAATTTTAATGTTATGAGTTTAGATATAATGTAAAGTTACTGACTGATAATAGAATTAAGTAAATAACAGGTGTGTATACGTTAATAAAAGGCGTACATTTTCAAACAAAATTTATAATAAAAGATAACGTTTCGAAAATCCGCCCTTCATTTGTTCTATATGCTATTTGTACTTAAGCCTCATTATGCTATTTGTACTTAAGCCTCATTATGCAGTAGTTAATCGATTCATTAGCTGTCAGTGTAAAATTTTATTTCGCGATTTGTACCCTTTTAAACAATTCAGTTTTTGTGTCGCGTAACCTTTGCTTATGGGAACGCATTTTAATGTTAATATCATTAATCAATGTAAGTCACATGTTAATTTATTGTGCTGACACACAAACAAAAACACGATTTGCTTCTATCAAAAATTGCTTCTGCATATAGCCATATTGTTCGTCTTAAGTTTTGTTGATACGGTATTTATCACAAGTAGCATGATAAAATTGTATGAAGTTTTATCATAAAATTAATACCCGTTCACTCAAAATTGTTCGTCTTAAGTTTTGTTGATACGGTATTTATCACAAGTAGCATGATAAAATTGTATGACGTTTTATCATAAAATTAATACATGTTCACTAATATCAGCGGAAGTACGTTTACAATACTTCTTATGTTGACTTCAAACGATGAAAGAGAGAGATTGGGATTATTAATTTTGTATATGTAACAAAACACGTTGCTTCTATCAAAAATTGCTTCTGCATGTAGCCAAATTTTTCGTCTTAAGTTTTTTTGATACATTAAAGAGAGAGAGGGAGAGAGAAAAGAACAATTAGTTGAAGTGGGAAACAAATAACTGCGTCGCTAATCCATATCTGCTTTTCTCCCTACCCATAAAGTGGACTTACTCCGTCACCACAGTAACGATTTAAAGTAAACGCCGAACACGGTCCAGTCTTCACAAAGCATACGGAAAGGAAGAACTCCGCATCAGTAGATCACCCAAACAATACCAGCCATCCGAAATATTGTAGCTTATACTGTAGTAAGCTCAATAGCTTTTGTCAAAATAAAATGTAAAATTATATAGAAGATAAAAACGAAAATGAAATGTATCTTTCGATATCGACCACCGTTTATTTTCTTGTTGGCGGCACTCTACCTACACATTGTTAGTAAGTACCCAATCTATTGAAAACGGTTTGTTTAGCATAATATATTGGTCCATGAATATAAAATAATAATCAAACATATATATATAATGCTATTAAAAATCAGAAATAGAAGTTATTCAGATGAGTGATCAGATGTTTAATATCATATCGAAGTTAGTTTTGATCAGCACTTGGTAAGTTTAATAGTAATTAAATTATTGTGAAAGCTATCATTTGTGAATAAAACGATTAACATTAAATTAAGTAAAGAACTGAAAGCATAAAATTTGGTAATTATTTTCTTCAAAATTCAATTTAAGAAATCATTATATTACGTTATCTAATCTAAATATAAGCTTATAGAGGAGATCAAAATACTTTAGGTTATAAGAGAACTGAATATTCATCTTGATCAAACCAGTCAGGTCGTGAAATAAGTGAGAATTCAGTTGAAATTGATGTGGTGTGTAGGAACGTGCAGATATCTTGGTAATGTGGAACTACCAGTACAAATAAGACAAATATTTTAAAGTACTTTTAACGCAAGAATAGTTATGTTAAACATAAAATAGTCTTTAATTACTAAATATCGTTTGCTATAAGAATAACTGGTCATGCAGAAGAACCCACTTTTTGAAAGCGCTCGAGCTTCTGAGTCGATGTTTGGACTTTCAAAAAGTGTAATCAAATTGTAATATTCAGAATTGTTGTTACACATTAACGAGCAGAAGAATAGTAAAACCAATACCTAACTCACTTTGTATATTTGTTTGTTTTCTTCAATGCTTTAGGCAGCTACTTTACATTAGTCTTTGCAAGCATATACATAATATTCAAATATATATATACAAATGAGTCATAATATAGAAAAAAAAACATGAACGACCTGTATGGAATTAAGACATGATAAATGTATTTTGTCTATAAAATGTTAACTTAATTCATTTGATCTGAGGCTATAATTTTATAAATCAATGGATTAGTGGATGTCTTTATACGAGTAAATAGCACTTATACCTGAGGCAGAGGAACATCGTCATTAAGCAACGCTAATGATAGAGGCAGAGTAAATTTACAAATTATTTTTTGCATATTATTCACGAAAAAAAAAAAGCACCATATAAAATATTTATAATAATGAACCAATGGTAATAAATTACCCTAACTTATTGATTTATATAACTATGCAATTCTTTTGAAAATTGACGAATATATATAGAGATTATATTACATCTAACAGTTAAGACACTAATGTTCATTTATTTCTAGTTTTAAATTGAAGAATGCTAACATTTTTAAGTCTCTGTTCCAACACCAACACTAGCCCTAATCTCATACTGTACAATGAAATATGTTTTGTAATAAAACCACCGTAAAAAACAAAACAAAATAAAGACGTTTGTATTGTTATATGAGCGTAAACCTCCACGTCTGTACTATTGGTAAACATCAAAGTGTCAAACCATGTTTTGTTTGTTTCTGGTACTTTAATCAACAGGTTTTGAGAATTCACGTGTCTTTTGTTTCAATAATTTCTCTAATTTAATGCCGGCACAGTAAAACACCATTCTTCATCAGTCGCTATGGGCAGAAACAAAACAGATTATTCTCGCCTTATATTGTAACATTATGAAGTAGAAACTAAGGATAATACAAATTAATGTATATCCTCATTTTTGGGGTTAATTATAGTTCATATTTAATGTCACTGTTTAAGTGAAGCAGTTGTCTGCATAGTGTCGTTTCGTCAAAAAATCCTTATGGATTTTAAAACCTATTGGAAATGTATAATATGTATAAAGATGACATAGGAGAAATATCGAAAAAATTTAATTAATTTCTATATCTTTTGTAGCAGCTTCATCTAGTACTCGTGGTATTCAAAAGAAAATGCCCTTAGTTTGAAACATGATGGATATGTGTACAAAATTGGTTTCTATCAGCTTTTCAAGAAACACTTGAAAGACATTTTGAAAACTTGAATATCCTATTAAATCGAATAATTAAAAACCTACACTGTATAAAATATCAGAAAGTATTTACAGTCTTATGAATAGAGTAAATACAGATCGAAAAAAAAATGTTATTTACGGGTTTATAGCTGAAGGTAGGCTTTTGGGTTAAAATCATTTCTTGTCAGCTTCATAAGAAAACTACTGACAACCTCGGAAAAACAACAACATATATTTACTTTTGGACGGCGGTTTGTTGAAAATAATGTATTATGCGGTAGATTTTTCTACACTAAGGCTTGCTATTCACTCTGTACATCATTTAAGGTAATTATGAAATATTTATTGTATTTGTCTTATCAAGTCAATAAGGTCAATTTTTTTGTTTTTTTACATCTATATAGCTCTTAAAATAGGATTCTCATTGTCTCAGCGGTAACTTTGATGGCCTATGATGCTAAAATTCAGTTTTCGATACCCCTGGTGGCCATAGCATAGATAGCGGGTTGTGTAGTTTAGTGATTAGCCAAAACAAAACAAAAATGTCAAAAATAAATAACCCCTTTATGTAAAAACATTTATATGTATCTTATATTGAAGAATTAAACTTCGTTATCTCGATTCGTCAAAAATGTATGAATTAGAATTGGCAAGTCAACTTGACCTCATATACTACTATGTTGCGTTTGTACATATCAAACAATTTAGTAATTTTCCCTAGTATAAGACACGAGTTGAAAACTCATATTTTTAACTATATAATAACTTATATAAATATATATTAAGTTTTCAAACAGTATACAATAATGGAAATCTTTAGAAAATATAGCTTCGTTTTTGGAGAACTTAAAAAGTAAACCGTTTAAATGAATAATTTTGACTACTTTGATAACATTATGCATCAGACTTCGTATATTTGTGTCAGAGGTCTGGAACTTGGAGTTGGCGGGTCGGGTTCGAATCCGTGCGATACCACTAAATATTCCCCGTTCTTTAATCTGTTATAAGAGCGATAATCTCTCTATTATCATGGATGATAGGTGTTAGTGTGTTGCTAACTGGCTGCCTTCCCCTTGGTCACTAACTCAAATTTAGGGAGGGCAGAAAATTGAAAATTTTGTACTTTTAAATTTTAGATTTAAAGCTGTATAGATCTTGTTTTTAAAGAAAATAAAACACCTTTAGAAAGACGATTTTCATCTGTAAACGTTAATAATTAGTCTTTCTAGTGTTCGAAATAACATAGAGGTAATTTAGTTTACTACACACTACACTTTCCCGTGACAGCAGTATTTCATAAAATATATCTGGCAATAAAATACATGGTTCGTTTAACGAACAGTGACACACAGTCACGTTGTACACCCCTGCAGAGTGGTGTTAAGAGGTAGATATCATTTTTTTTAAATCAAGTAGTGGTGAAACAAATACCTTTGCAGAGAAACATCATTTCTAAGACGTTCACTCTCCAGCTTTGATATATTATAAAGTTAGTGTTGGCTCCTTCAAAAGATATTTTGTTTCATGTGTGATACAGGATATATGATGAAGGTTTCTCCTTTAAAGTTTTCAGTAATAAAATATCATGCAAATCGATACACAGTGCATCCTAATGTCATTTTTAAACAGAAAAAAAAAGCTTTTAGTTGATCAGGTCAATTGGAAAATGTGTAAAATATTTTATCTCAGACTATCAGAGTAAATGGTTACAAGTTTTATTATTTTACTAATTTCTATTCCTATAAATATGATATCAATACTACGGTGCTCTTACATTATATTTTCACTCTGTTAAGTTTCAGGATGTTATTGTTAGTAAGATTGGTATATTTGTGAAATATTTTAATTCTAAAGTACAATAATTTTTTTGCGTTAAAAAACAGTTACTCAGAAATACAACAAATAACCCAACTAGAGAGAAACCTGAATTGGAGGAGTATATTGGAACAAATGGTAAAGCTTGTTTATACGTTATGACAACATTTTTGAAGTTTTGATTGTTTGTCGTGTGTTTTCGATAGCAGCTATTCGCCAAAACGAATAGATACTTAGCGTATAATGTTAGAATTTGACAACGAAAATTACAGCATATATTTGTAAAAAGTGTATATAAAATTCTCATAACTTTGACATTAGCGTAAGTTTTCTTCAAGATATAGATATTGCCAGTTAAAATGATATGAAATATTTTTTCTAAGACGTATAAATCAATTTAAAACAAGCATGTTTATCTATACTTCTTAACAAATCCTATCTGATCAATGTAAACTGCTTTTAGAGAATAGCAAGGAATCATTCTGATGCATTAGTATTTGTTCGTTATTTCTATATACATGTTTGAAAGTATATCTAAAAGTTGTTTTAGAACATGCTTGTGCAAACTTTGAACTAGTAAGTCTCTACTGCTAATGCTTATCTTTATAATTCGATGTTTATTTTTACTTTTTGAACGTTAGCCACTACAGCTAGTGTGATCTGGTTACTCGTAGGTTAGGATTCAGCATGTATGGTGCTTTGGCACTGAATATCCCAAATATAACTACCACAGACCACTGTTTACACGTGCGCTGTTAGTTTCTTGTTCTAGAAATCTACTCAAGAAAAGTTGGCAATGGATTCTATTCCAATAACATCTATATGAGTTAATTCTGCACTTAAAATCTAAAGCTAGCGTCAACCGGTATTACACAAGCTAGGTCTAAATAAAACTTTCTATTTTGATTGTGAAAAGCTTAGTTATAATCATTCGATCAAATTATATCTTATGGTGGTTATTTCGTGAGTTTTTTGCATCCGCCTATAACGGTGCATTTTCATAATATAAAAAAGCTAACAAGTCTAAAAATATTATCAATATATTTAATACTTTGTAGTGCTATGTTGTGAATATCTATATACTAGAAAAAGTTGGAGAAACAGTAACATTTTTCAAAAAATGGGAGTTTATTAGAAATATAAATGTTAGAGTAAATATGTACATCAACTTGTTTTTACTAAATTATACAAATTAATAAAAAAGTTACATATATTTGTATATATCATAGATACCCATTTCTAGGCGATGGAAAA